AGCAAGACCAAAATAGAATACTTGGAGTGCATGTTCAGTAGCGCGACTTGGGAAGTAGACGAAGACGTGAGGCTTGATTCACAAGTCATCCGTATGAGAGAAAGTTTCAAGTACCTTGGGTCTGTTATACAAGGGAATGGGAATATCGACGAGGATGTCACACATTGTATTGGAGCTGACTGAATGAAATGGGGGCTCACTTCTGGTGTTCTTTGTGATAAGAATGTGCCACCAAAACTTAAAGGTAGGTTCTATAGAGCGATGGTAAGACCAACTATGTTGTATGAGGAAGAGTGCTGGCTAGTCAAGACCTCTTATGTCCAGAAGATGAAGATGTCTGAAATAAGGATGTTGAGATGAATATACGAACATACCAGGTTATATAAAATTAGATGGTTCGAGCATATAAATAGGAGAGGCAATGATGCTCCAGTGAGGATGCACAGTGTATAAAGAAGTAAATAATCTATTGCCCTTGAGGTTTTCAATTACATGCACAAATTATTCTATAAGAAAGGTGAACACATACATATTGTTGTAATTTGTTTTTATCCGATTCTTTGAAGCGGTGCCATCTGACACCACTTTGTCGAATTTTTTTTATTAAATACATACAGTCAACCCTCTCTATAACAGCCACGTTTGTTTCGATATTTTTTCTTACTTTTATAGTTAATGGTTATATACCTATAACAACATTTGATGTTTAAATATTTCTTGCTATTATAGATAAAAATTATCAAAAAACTAATTTTTTAATGTTATTTAAAAGATAAGAAAATTATTCAAATTTAAAATCTCAAAAGATATGCATATTTCACTAGTTAAATATTGAAGAAAGCTAATATACTTTCAATAAATTCATAGCTAAACGTATAAAGATTTAAACTCTAAGACAACCATTTTAAATCTATCTAGAAAAATAAATTCTCTCAAGATTGATTAAAGAACTTTGTAATTGTAGCTTGTTTCACTGATTTCATTCTCTTACTAGCGATATAACGCTTGAATTGGCGAAGATTCGTATCCAAATTTTCAGCAAAAATGCATCCGATAGCTTTCCCTTTAAGACATCTAAGAGCTTAATTGTAACGACCCGACCGGTCGTTTTGAGCATTTGCACTTCGCTCGGTAGTTTGGAGGCACGAATAGCTCCGTATGATGTATTAGAACTTATGTGCAATATTTGGATTCATTCCGAGTTGATTTGATATGTTTCGGCGTGCGTTTTTGGAAGTCGAAAGTTCAAAAGTTCATTAAGTTTGATTTGAGGTGCATTTCGTCGTTTCGATATTGTTATGTGTGTTTTGAGGCCTCGAGTAGGTCCGTATTATGATATGGAACTTTTTGATATGTTTAGACGGGGTCCTGAGGGGCCCAGGTGAGTTTCGGATAGGTTTGAGTTGTGTTGCGCTCGTTTTTCTTATGTTTCGATGTCGTTTTTCAAGCATAAATGGTATCACATTGAACAAATGAGCTCTGATTTCTGTTTTTATTGAAGCATTAGATCCGTATCGTAATTATGGAGTCATAGAAAAAAGGATCGTCAAATTTGGACATCATATGAGGATTTTATGGTTATTTTACTAAGAATTGGGTTGCCGGATTTTTCAGATTAATTATGAAATTGTCACTGCTGCGTATTTAAAATATCTGCACTATTTCCAAATATTGAAACCAACATATCTCCTTTAATATAAGGTCAAATGGAGTGATTCAAGAACCTAACTTGACTAGAATTTCACAAGGAATCCATTGGAGGTATCAAAAGTAAGTTTCGAGATCTTTTGGCACAAGAAACGAGGTAGAACAGTGTTAAAACGAGAGTTTTGTGCATTTAACATATTTTGAGTTGGGGAGCTCGGAATTGGGCAATTTTTCAAGGCGCTTTTCAGCATATGAATTGGGGTAAGTGTTCTCTATTCGGTTTTGGTTATCTATCTTCGATTTTCGTTTTTTGTTGATGAATTTTAAAGAGGAAATTGAGAGTTTTGACATAAAGTTTCATAATATGAATTTTTGAGTTTTGAACACCGATTCTGAGTCGGATTTGAGTGAAACTAGTATGGTTGAACTCGTAATTGAATGGGTTGACGGATTTTGTGAGTTTTATGGGGTTCCGAGATGCTGGCCCAGGTTGGGCTTGTTGGCCGATTTTGGGCTTTTGATTAAAGATTCAACCTTTTTTTTTATTAGGATTGGTTCCTTTAGCATTGTTTGATGTATTTGAGTTGTTTTTAGTTAGTTTCGAGCCGTTCAGAGGTCGAAACGCGTGGGATGGTATTTTTGGAGCATCGCTTGGCCTGCTCGGCATTGGTATAGGCTCGTTCGAGGTAAGGAACTCTTTTGAGCTTAGTGCTGAGGGTATGAAACTCCAAACTATGTGTTATGTGATTGGTTTTGAGGTGACACACATGCTAGGTGACGGGCGTGTGGGCGTGCACCCTGTGAATTGAGACTCTGTTGTTCCCATGGCCTTGTATAGTGGCCCTATTTTGTGGATATTTGTGTTTACACCATGTGGTAAAGTAATTGAGCTGTCAATCATGCTAAATATCATGTTTAGACTTCATCGTAATATTGTTTGTACCCATAGTAGTTATTTCTGGCTGTTATCTCACTGATTTTCACTGATATTTTTGTACTCAGTCATATTCATGCATTCATATCATATCTCTGTCTCAGTTGTTATTATCGATACATCATATCATTGTTGTCGGGCCAGATTCATGACATTGTGTGCCCTTGAGTGAGACTGGAGCGATTCATGACTGGGTGAGGCCGATGGCCTGAGTGAGAATGATATTTTTGGATCGGACTGCACGCCACAACGATATATTGGTTATATTTATGTCTATGGATCGGGCTGCACGCCGCAACGATATATGGATCGGGCTGCACGACGCATCGATATATTGCTTGGGATGAAGGAGCTCCTCCGGAGTCTGTACACCCTCAGTGAGCGCAGTCGACTATATATATATATGGATCGGGCTGCACGCCGCAGCGATTATTACACAATACTGAGTGATTTAGTGTGCTGAGTATTGAGCTTAGTAGGAGAGGATGCGAGGCAATGAGATTGGCTACTCTGAGAGTGTGAGTACATGTATCATCTCTGAAATACATGGCATTTATATGCATACATGACATACATGCATAGAGATGCATTTTTCTTATGCTAGATAGTATCACGTCATTCATTACTTATTATACACATTGATATTAGGGTATGGAGAGACACTTTATACTTGTTATTTGGAAAGAAAATAAGACATTTTATTTATTGTGGAAAGGATATTTTAAAAAATTACAGTTTTCAAACTTACTCGTACTTTTGGCATTTTCGGTAAGAGATCTGGGATTTTCTTTCACTGAGATATTTGAAAAGCATGACCATTTTCTGGAATTGTGAACGAGCTGAGTATTTTATTTTTGTATTTTTTTTTTACTTATATTATGTTGTTATGAACTGTCGTGGAAATATTGGCATTGGACCCGATCCTATGTTAGCTTGTCACTGCTTTCAACCTAAGGTTAGGTCTATTACTTACTCGGTACATGGGGTCGGTTGTACTGATACTATACTTCTGCACATTGCGTACAGATGTCGGTTGCTGCTGTTGTTGTGCTCAATGGTTGCGAGACTTGAAGATGTACTGGCGCCCCTGTTGTAGCTGCCTCCTTTGTTCAGGGTAGCCTTAGCTTATAAAGCTCTGTTTATGTACTTTTCAAACAGACTGTGTATCTGTTTCATTGTTGCTTTGTAAACTCCATTCGTAGAAGCTCATGATTTGTACTACCAGTCCTTGGGAAATGTATAAAATTCTGTAAATTACTTTCATTTAATTGTCTTGTTAATATAATTGAAATTGGATAATTAATAGTTGGCTTACCTAGCGGGTTGGATTAGGTGCCATCACGACCAGTGGATTTTGGGTCGAGACATTAGTAGTTAAATTTCTATCTAACTATTTTTTGGAATTTGTTCAATGGAAAAGATATCATGTGCAAATCTTCAAATCTTACATCTTATGCAAGATAGAAACTTTGTTTAAAGGAAAAGATTGTAGGCATAATTTTAGAATTATTATTAGTATTCTTAAAAATTCTTCATGGCTGTTATATCAGGATAATTTTACAAAGAGCGTTCTGCTATAAATATAGTTGTTGTTGTTATAGGTAAAAAGTTGTTATAGAGAGGTAAAATATAAATGTAAAAAATCGGTTCTGAGAAAAACTTTGACTTTAATAGTGAATGACTATTATATAGGGATGGTGTTATAAGGAGGTCATTTGTCTAAGTGTGCCATTTTTCTAATATGTAGGTGTGTAGTTTTGTAAAATTTTGAGTCTCTTTTCCTATAAAAACAGCAGTTGTAAAGAGTTGAACTTCTGGACTGAAACTGAAAGGCAGAGGAATTTCCTGCACAGAGATGCAGAGTTTCAAGCTATAAGTTGATCAGAGGAGTTTGCTGTGATGTATTTCCTGTGATGTCTTAAGTTTTTCTGCCAATAACTTTTCCTTATTTATACTATTTTTTCTTTCTGGTTCTAATGTTTTGATTGCTTTGATGTATACTGCAGTGGTGAAGCCAGGAAATTCACTAAGAGTGTTCAAATTTTACCCTCCGGTGAGATATAAAAGGGTGTTCAACATCTATTTTTTAATCCGTAACAAGTAATATTGTACCTTATGAATAGTATAATTACTTAGCGAAGGATATTCAGTTGACTACCCTTGAGCCAACATAGCTTCGCCCCTGGTATACTAAGTAAATTTTTGTTTTTTGTTTGTGTTGTGTGATCGTCTTGTTAATTTGTAATAAATTGGTATTGATTCTGTGTTTAAACACTTTATTGCATTCTTAAACTGTACATTAACGAAGGGATTAGGATTCAATTTTTTTATGACAGTAACCTTCCTACAAGTTCATATGACATAATGACAAGTATAATACAAGTATGAGCTAAACTATCATTGTAGGAAGAATAAAAAATGGAAACTAAATAACTTGGTAAAATATATTTCACATATTTACAAAATTCATATCCCAATAGGTTACAACTTACAACAGCTTAGTCCTTCGGGACGGCCAATTGGTTTGGAGGGGGTTATCCATAGTGATGACTTAGGATCGATCCACCCTCAATGCCTTCTGGGTCTGAGCCTGTCGCACAGGGCTTGCCTAGTGCGGTTTACATCCCGGTGTGGTTTGCAGGCTATTGCACAGTGGGGGGTTTACCCAGTGTGCACAGAGTACTCACCACAGAGTGCTCACCCCGAAGGGCAGAGGCTATGACAGAGGCTGTAGCGGCTGCTTATTTTCCTTGGGTTCCAAAAAAGAAAACTTACAACAGATTACAACTTTCTGTTTTTTGCAGGGAACATGGGAATATCATTACATACCACATATCATCATGGAGAATGACCAATTGACATTAGTCATTGTGTTAAACTCTGTGTACCACTACTACCAAAACAAAATGGAAGGTGAGCGCGAAACTGTACGATAAAATGCTGTTTGTGGTTCTAACTGGCTTGACAGTTCAAATCTGGATCCTCAACTGTGTTGAAGTACAATGTGGAAAGTTTGTTATCAAGTTTGGAAACCAGTTGATGGATAGACAATCCACAGTAACGCTTCCCTAGTCGAGCGATGAAAATGTCAATTATTTTCTTGAACATGTCATCTCCTTGTATTAGGGGCTGCTCCACAAACTCAACTAGAGGCATCCACTGCATCGCAAAGAGAAAGGCAGCTTGAGTAAATACAAGGTAGCATAAAACTGCACTCTCTAGCGAGAATTACTAAGAAATGTGAACCTTAGGTCTAACGTAAACCAAAAGCTAGTTCTTGAAGTGAAGATTGTCCAAAACTATAAAAGGATATAACTGCACATTTTCCCAACTAATATAGGACACTTAACATCTCCCGCACGCCCTGGGACTGAACAACTGATGCATGGACAATATCACATGGGGGCCAACATTGTGAAGCCATATTAAGAAAAAGGGACATTGGGCGCAACTCAACCTCGAAAGTTAGCTCATTATGTGAGAATTGTTCAAGACCATATCAGAAAATAACTCATTTTTCCCCAACATATGTGCGACATGTAAAATGACTGAAATGCCAGTAGATGAGAGATATTCTAAATACTAATTTAAGATGAAGCGACTGTACTCTAGAGGACTGGTATGGGGCGAAAGTAGTTCTTCATGAAAATTTTACCATGGGAGGAGTATCATATTTTGACATTGAATTAAGTCCTTTGGAACTGCCTCTAAGTTTATCTATCATTCCAAATCTGTTGTCAATTTCAACTCTCTACGTACGTGTGACTAATATTTTACAGGAAAATAACCTCCATTAGTCCCTCTTGTTCCCTCAACAAGAAAGCTCGGAACCACATATAATGCAAGAATTGGCATATTTCAATGGGAAACTGCCACTAAATCATAAAGAAACGTTCAGTATTTGGCGCATTTTTTTAAATGACAGAATAAGTAGTTTCTCTATTTTCTTGAAGTAAATCAATGTTTTCTCCAGGAGATACAGATAACAAATAAGATTAAAAATGATGGGATGCATTACAACAACAACATAGCCAGTATTATCCCACACCGTGGGGTCTGGGGAGGATAGTGAGATGGGATGCATTGAACTGAAAATATCTTCTAGTGAAGGAAATACAGATATCAAATTTATTTTTGCTGACTATCAATTTATACAATATGCTTACCTTAGCAGCCTGAATTTCAAGATCATCAACCATGATATGTTCTGACAGGGGTCTTAATAGGCAGACGAAGAACAAATCTGACTTTTCAAAGGCCACGTTATGTGCATGCCTGAAGGAAGACATGGGATAACTGTTAATTAAACAATGTAAGACTGTAACATCAACTAATTAGGGTCCAAAATAATATCTCCATTTCACTTGACACTTTAACTAAAGTGTAGAATGTGATTGTCTTTAAATAGCATGAGTGAGAGCAAGAAAATCTCAATTAAGCTTGAAGATGGACAGTTCTCATTGTATAGTTGGAAGAAGAAAACCTTATATTTCTATATCAGGTGCGCATCCCTTTTGATCAATTTTCACATCAGAAAGCAAGAAGTATCCTAAATAGTGAAGTCTAGCAAGTAGCAAGTACAGTACCAAGCAAAGTTTGCTCGGAAACTTATCATATCGACATTTCATGTTCTTATGAAATATCTAATATAGCTCTTCCTATCGTTAAGAAGGCATAAAATTCGCTATCCACCATGATAAATATATGGTCTTTTGAAGATGAAGAAATTTGTTACCTGAAAGCCATAACCTCCACAAATTCGGTATCAATCTGGATAGAATAATGAAAAAGAAAACCATCATTCAGATTACACTGCTCACTATAGAGTGATCGTTTAGGGTAAAAAATATGTCAAGTGTGGATTTCTTACCCCAGTTTCCTCCTTCACTTCTCTCACAACTCCTGTAAAGATCTCCTCTGACTGTATTTTGACATAAGAACAATGTTTAAGGAGTTAAGTATACATAATACATGTTCCAGTATTTACTTCTATCAAAAGTGACCAAAATGTTAAGGTCAAATTTCAATACAGGAACATACCTCAAGAATGAAACCAGTTGGTATTTTCCATAGGCCTGAAAGAGCCCGCGCAGAATGTTTCTCTTGCACGACGAGCACCTAAATCAGTATTTCATTAGGCTATGGGATTACAACAACAACAACAACAAACCCAGTGTAATCCCACGTGTAGGGTCTGGGGAGGGGTAGTGCGTACGCAGACCTTACCCCTACCTTAAAAAGGTAGAGAGGTTGTTTCCGATAGACCCTCGATATGTTTCAAGCATAATGATCTTCACAAGCTTATACGTTTTAATAGGAAGTCCATCCAAATAGAAAAATATGCACCTCATTTTTGTCATTGATCACAAAACCANGCTATTTCCAATAGACCCTCGATATATTTCAAGCATAATGATCTTCATAAGCTTATACGTGTTAATAGGAGATTCATCCAAATAGAAAAATATGCACCTCATTTTTATCATTGATCACAAAACCACCAACTCCAACTTGATGAGATGCATTAGAAGGAAGCATGCAGGGTTCATCTGGTATCCAATAAGTCAACATGACATGTCCTTTTTCTGCATGATGGTACTGAAATCCTTCCTACAAAAATTTAGAGTTTGACCATTATTTTTAGCCAGCATTCAACATCAAAAGAACTAACACCAAAACTTAAAGATTTCAGGTAAAGTGATATAATACCTTTACTGCAATAGGAACTAGATCACATTTTTCCACTGGTAGCTTTAGCCAAACTCCCTTCTTCCCCTGCATTGGGAGCCATTAATTAGCTCAATGTGTTTTATATGATGTGATCTAATGATATTTGACAAAAATGGTGAGTCTTTTTGGAAACATTCCAAGTGTGTTTTATAATCGCAAGAGTTGTCGAAAATAAACAGAAAAAAGTGACAATGCAATGGCTTCCACTATGTAGTAACAGGCGTTGTCAAAGGCACGCTTAAGCCCTGAAGTGAGACTCAAAACACGTTGAGTGCTTCGCCTCGCTTAACGGGTGCTTCAGTGTCGTCATCGAGGTTCTAATGCATACTTTTCCTTGTCGTAGATCTTTCTCAATTTCTTTGTCCATATAATTTAGTTTATGCTTATAATTATTAGTCTCGTAATATACATATATATTCATATTTTTCCCATTTGCGTCTTTCTTCACGAAAGCCCACGCTTTATTGTTCCGTGCTTAAAACTCCAAGGACCTTAGAGCTTCTTTGCACTTTTCGCCTTTGATAACACTGTGCAGTAATCAACACCAGACAAGAGATCTTTCATGAAATTTGAGACTAGTCTAAAACTGTAGTTGCTGGCAATGAAGTACCTTCACTTTCCAATGAGCGAGAGATGCACGTAGTAGAGACACAAATTTGGCAGGATTGGATGGTAGTCTTTCTGCATTGACGATTACCCCTCCGTATTCATCATCAGAGGCATCAAGTACCCATTTATCTCTAAAATACAAACCTGTGTGGTTCGTACCATTTATCTGATAAGAGAAAGTGTCCACTAAGAAATTCTTTTTGGTGACCGAACTTGTCGCATCATAAGAAGTTCTTGAATAAGAAGCCTTCATTAAAAGCCCTGAAGGTAAAACAGAACATTACATTAATTCTCATTTAGCAGCAGTAGTAGTGTTATCTAATAACGAGTCGATAATATTCTTCTTAATTACTGCATTAGAAACAGGAAATGCATATCTAAAAGCTAATGGTGCACTTTGTATTGCCTAATTGTAGAGCCATTTTGACAAGGGCGGACTTACTTGAATACACAAACTTAAGCTCGTCTAAAACGGAAAAAAATGACTGAAAATGTTAGAGAGAAACCACTTTTATGTTACAGTATGCTTCAACTGCGAGCATGATACTTTTTCTTAGCTAAGCACGTAGAAATCTTATGTTAATGGATGGCGGTAAGACTTGAACTCTCATACCGTGTTAAATTGTGTGACTAGAGCGTCTGCAAAATGGTCAAATTATTCAACAAGAAACACAAATCTCTTAGTACATGAGAGAAATGGAATGAATTAGGCTGAAACCATACGTTGCCCCTTAAACTTGCCTGATTTTTTCGCTTAGACACCTCTACTAAGATTTATACCTATTGAACACTTAAACTCGAGTTAAGTATGAAACACCCAACAAACATTACAACAACTGAAGGACAAACATGAAATGCTTTTATCAGCATAGCTATTGCTTTGTCCTTCAAACCATACCTCCTCTTCACTTAAACTATCATAAAACCTATGCCTCTCGGACTCTTCAAAAATACCACTAGGTGTGTGCCAGATTTTCTAATATGCATATTTTGAGGGATCCGGCAGAGATGCGACATCAATTTTGGAGGGTCCAAGCAACATAGCAGAAACAATCATTCTAATAAGTAGCTTATGGCTGGCTTTCTCCAAAATCTGGATACACTAATTAAATACTCTAAGCACGAAACATGTACTCCATCTGTTCCATTTTATGATAATTTGGGTACACTTTTCCGTGCTAGTTTGTTCCAAGAAGAGTGACACATCTTTACGCTCAGAAACAAGTTAACTTCCAATTTTTTACTTAATGACATGATTTTATAGCCAGAGAAACGTCATAGCATGTTTAAAACTACAGAGTAACAATTTTCTTATACCCATAAAAGATCAATGTACTGGAAAAATAACCTTCTAACTGAATCCAAAAAATCAAAAAGGTACACAAGCCTAATTATATAACAGAAAATTACCTCTGGAAGAAGAGAATTTGGGGGACACATTGACACCAAACTTGAGCTTTGAGTCTAAAAATGAGCTAGAAAGCTTCATTGTCTCCATACCAACTGATTTAGACATTGATATTGCCTTAGAATCAACATATTTCATCTCCATTTAAACTAATTCTTCAGTTCAGTTCCACAGTCCAAATGAAAAAGCAAAATCTTGACAGCTTTATAAATAACCCCAGATAAGGAAACCACGTAATTTATATACAAAAAAAAAAGTTCAAGATTCGATTTTTTAATGCTAAAAACAAGATATTTTCTTGGGTATTTTCACCCCCCTCGGAGGAAACTAAAATGTGAACAAAACCAGTGAAGAGCTGTGAGTAAAAGAACAAAGAAGATAGTTTATATATATAAAGGAAATGAATTATGACATGGAAACTGACATAAAGTTAAAGCAGATGTCTACGTGTTTGGCAATATGGCATGTGGTTGAAAATGAACCTTGTATAAAATAAATTAAAATGACAAACACAAGCTTGAAATAAATAAAAGAAAGATATTTGTTTTATTAGTGTAGAAAATGAAGGGAAGTGAAAGGAAAACTGAGAGGAAATGGAAAGGGAAGAGTAGTGTGCGGTAAAGTTAGTGTGAAGAGGAAGTAGAGGAAGCTAAATGGAAGAGGCAGAGGAGAGTACGTATTAAACGAGGAAGTTCTGGCTCTACATTTTTTTGGGGTATCAAAGTGGAAACGCTCCCTACCATTTTTAAAAAGAAATTAAGACTTTCATCAACTTGCATGTCTAGACCTGCCATTTGGAGCATGAACAATCTATAGTAAGGTTCCAACATTGGGGCACCAACTCTGATACTATGATAAGAATTATTTTTACGCTTAACTTAACCCCAAAAGCTAGCTCAAAGGGTAATAATTGCTCGAGCTATATAAAAAGTCCAAGGAACCCATCAATCTCCGATTTGGAATTCCATCACAAAGCAACTAAATACTTTCCCAATTATCGTAAAATCTATTTTCACAAAACTAGAACCGACTTTGTAATGAAAATAAACCACACTAAAAGCAAAATGAAAAATTATCAAGCCGAGGTCCCTTGTTTGGAGTAATACCAAATGAGATAGATCAAAGATTTAAAATTATGGGTTCAACGTTGGAGATTGTTAATATTTAACCTAATATTTTTGAAGTTAAAAGTTTATATATATTTTGTTATAATTTTTGGTATAATTTTTAGAATAAATTAGTGTTTCGTGTGGAAAATATTAGGTTCAAATGAACCCAATAAGCCGGTACCATTTCACCTGTGAATACCGAGTACAAATAAGTATTTATCCCAGGAATTTGGAGACAGAAAAAGAAATAATTTTTAGGTGCAGTGCGTCGTGCCATCTTTCATCACTTAAAAAAAAAAAAATAGGAAGGTAGATCATGCTTCATGATTTTTTGCTTATCTTAATCATGAATTATTTAGTTGTTAGCATTATTATCTTATCCTTTGACAAATTGGAGAAATAATTAATTTTAGGTGGACGTCTCTCTTCCCTTTTCGTGAATAATGCATTTTCCTATCAACAAGAATGACGTGATTCAAAATAGCATGAGTTTTTTAAAATGTAAAGTGAATATAAAATTTTCAATTTTCTAAAAAATAGAGGATTTTAATGTGAAGTTGGTTCTTAATTTTCAAATCTTGAAAATAATATAAATCATATGTAAAAGTTACATAAAAAAGATACTATAAATTTTTGAAAACGCATTGTGTAAGAAAATTTGACTTTTTAAACAGTGTTATTTTGCTGGATGTACAAATGGAGAATAATATTATTAACTATACATAATATATTAAAGTGCCTATAATTAATAGTGTATTTAATTTGGATTCATAGCCTCATAGGTAAATATATTGCAATCGTTAACGTTATAAAGCATACTCTTTAATTAAATGCCTATAAAGCTGAGATAATAGATTATATATTGGACGGTCAACAGATATATTTATGCGGCTAAAATTCAGAGAACTCAATTGCTATCATAAATATCAATTGATCAGTTATGTCAACAAAATCCAAGTGGCAAGGAAATATCTTATAAATAAAGTAGTAAATAAAATAAGAAAATGGGTCAAAAAAAGAGCAATCAGATGAAGAAAAATTCGATTGGCTAAAAATGGATAAGATTGTATTATTAGTATCTCTTCAATTATTGAAAATATTTTTGGTACATCTTTTTTTTTTTTAACGTGTAATGAGATGCATTGAGAAAATAAGAACTATTATATGATAACGGAGCTCGGCTCTCACATCATGTAAGTTAGGTTATGGTGAAGTCCACGTGGGAACACGTCAAGTTGGATTGTGATTGGGACAAATTATTTTTTATGTCTAGTGCATGTGATTCTATTGCGACGATAGCGGACAATTGTCCAGTTCTTTTTTGGGTGATAGCAGTCCATATAGGGCACTTACCACCCGCCCACGCACCTCCCGTGGCGGAGGCAGGATTTTGAACCTCTTGACCACTAAATTACACTTTTGAATTGTGTTTAGGGTGTTTAAAACTTAATATATAGAGATAAAAAATAAACTTTGCCTTATATATACAGTATAATTTTTCGGCGAAGGGTGTTCGGGTGAACACAATTGCGTCCCCTAAATCCGCCCCTGCCCACCCCCCTACCCCAAGAAGAAGTTTACCATGTGTATTAAGTAATAATTTGTTATTTACGTTAACGTGTTTAGATTAACTTAAAGTAATGGAGATCATACGAGTGAGATTTGTTTTAGTGGTAGAGTACTCCGGTCATGATGATACTACTGATGAACGTCTTTAATTATCAGAATATTTTTGCTTCTCACTTTGGTCAATTAGCAATAATTTTTCCGTAAATTTCCGAAAATTTGTTTCGTGTAGCTTGACAAGGAAATTTTGAGTCATGGGTAAAGGACCCTTTACATGTATGATCTATTGCTCATGCAATTCGGGGTCCTCATTTTGGTCAACCAGTCGTGGAAGCTTTTACTCGAGGGGTGCTCTTGGCCCAGTGAATATCGCTTATTCTGGTATTTATCAGTGGTGGTATACAATCGGTTTACTTACTAATGAAGATCTTTATACCGGCGCTCTTTTTCTATTATTTCTTTCGGCCATATTCTTAATAGCAGGTTGGTTACGCCTACAACCATAATGGAAACCGAGCGTTTCCTGAAATTCAAAAATACTGAATCTCGTCTGAATCATCATTTGTCAGGACTTTTTGGTAAAGCATAAGCGGATTCTGAATTTAAAATTTACAGGTTCCTACAATGATCTTAGGTTAATAAATTGGGTTCCAAGCTTAATGTCTTATACATTAAATAAATTTTTAATACAAATACAAATCTAAACAAAAGTTACTGCATTTACATAAATTCGCAACTTTTGCACTAGATCCATCCCTAGAGTGAAGGATTAAGGATAAGTGCTATTCATATTCTTAGATAGCATATTGCACTTGGTGTATGGCATACTCTCTATATTTGTCTTCATCGTTTTGATACTTTCATTTTTCGCTACATTTATCCAAATGTTAGCTTGATATCTAGTAGGGTGAGTGATAGTTGCTCCAGTTTACTTCTCAATCCGTTTCAATTTAGATGAGCTAGTTTGACTTGCCACAACGTTTAAGAAAAAGATGAAGACTTTTGAAATATGTGGTTCTATAAGCTTAAGGGACAAAAGTTTTGTGGGGTCATGACATTTGTGTGTAGAGGCGGAGCTAGGATTTGAAAGTTATAGGTTCGGATTTCTAGTCATTTTAAGTTACTGAGCTCTAAATTAATAATTAGTACATATTCATTAAATTTCATTAGACAACTACAGGGTTTGGATCAAAATTACTGGGTTCGGTAGAACTCGTAGCTAATAGGCTAGCGCTGTCCCTTTTTGTGTGGTTGTAAAAACTTCTCATTAAGGATAAAGTGGGTAAATAAAAATTTTAAAGTTGAATAGTTTCCAAATATAAAAATATGTCATTCTTTTTGAAACGAAATAATAAGTAAAGTGTGTCATTTAAATTGAAAGGACTAATAGATATGCCGCAACTAGCTTAACAAAAAAAAAAAAAAACGTAAGAATAAAACGTGTTACTTTCCACCCTCGAGGGTTGGTTTGGGTACTAAGGAATTAAACGTGCTTCAAATTTTCTAAATATATTTCTTTCATTAAAAAACTAAAAGGTAGACTAATCTTAGTTAAATAATCCAAGTGTTGTACTAAGATCAATTGTTACCTTCTTCACAATTCTTCTCTCAAAATATTGTCCGCTTAATTACAAATTATCTCGATAATGCAAATTATTTTGTAACAGAAGATAAAATTATGCTGATTTTTTAGCACAAAATATAATCCGTATGATCTAATTAAATGTGAAAGAATGGACAACCAGCTGTAATAAAAATTAGATTAAATTAAATAAATATTGTCAAATCGTCTACCTAATTGAAAGAGATGTTGGTGTAACATTCATACTGTAATAAACTAATTGTAGTTGCTTCTTTAGTTGTCGCATTATTATTGAATTCCATATATTTAAATCCAACATTTATAATAAAGGTGGTGATGCACTCATCGGCCACTGGAATTCTGAATCCGCCTTTATTTGTACCTAAAAAAGTATTTACTTGCACTGCACATGCAAAGCAACAAGTACATGTATATCATGTGTCGTTTATATATTTATACCTAATAAAATATTTATGTATGTTTCAAAATAATAAGTGTATACAATGTGTTTTTTAAAAGGTGTGCGACACTCATCGACCTCTAAAATTCTAAATCCGACTTTATTCATGCCTAAGAAAATATTTACATGCACATACAAAGCAACAAGTACATATCATGTGTCGTTTATATATATTTATAGCTAAGAAAACATTTATATATGTTTCAAAATAATGAGTGTATACAACGTGTTTTTTAAAAGGTGGTGGTACACCCAGCGACCCCTGAAATTCTAAATTCAACTTTATTCGCGCCTAAGAAAATATTTACCTGCACATGCAAAGCAACAAGTACATATCATGTGTCGTTTATATATTTATGTTTACCCTCAAAATCGGATAACAATTGAATTTATACGCGATTTTAAGGATACGCGATATAATTTGACTAAATTGAGAAAACAAATTAATATTGAAATCAATGACAGCAAAGTGAATGCAAACCACGCAAGTTGAACAATGTTAGCCTTGAAGGTTGGTCACCCTTAAGTCAAAAAGTGCCTCAATCGATGTCAGAACAGAATAACAAGATAATAAGAACAAGAAAAAGCATTGTATTGCTTTTGGATGTGTGTTACAAGTAATCAGACCCCCTTTATATAGTAGGGAAGTCCTGCTTTAGATACAATTCTACAAAAGGTAAGAAATCTCATGATTAGCTAATTAGTCCGCCTATCGTTGATATGTGTTGAGATTTCTGCCGTGACATCCGACTGGTTACGAATATTTTGGCCTTCTGTTATGCGGTCCGATAGTATTTCCTCGAGCTCGATCGGAGTCGGGGTTGGTTCCGAACTTATGGGCTCGATGATCTTGAAGGCGTATGCTCTAACTTCGTACCTTGACTCGAAGGAACCCGGGGTCGATCTCCAACCCATCTCGTTTCAGTCTCGATCTTTCATACAATA